AGCTACACTATATCTATATCTAGATATCTATCACACTATATCTTGTGTGTTTCATTCACTTAACAGGCCTCCTGGAATTCTTTACAACTAGCCCAGTCAGATCAATGTAAATACAGAGACCTTCCATTAAGCTTCAAAGGATTTTTGTTAAACATGACCATTAAGACCCTTTAGTGGTGATCCACCTAGGGTTATAAGCACTTAGGTGCTGTAAAACTAGTCAGTAAAACATATCAATTTAAAGCATTTATGTCAGCCATGATCCAGGCGTAGGTAATTAAATCCATTAGCTGGCACCTGGCATGTGATAAAACCTCTAGCACAGGTTATAATTGACATCCATTGGAAAGCCATTAAGGCGTAATTCACACTGGTAGTCTAGGTCACTAGACTTAAAAACTCCTTTAAAATTCAGATTTCACAAAATCCACCCACAATTCATAAATCCTGACATGGGATTAAACATTACGTTTTACATAGGCTTTAACATTCCATTAATAATACCTTCTGGGCACACCTGCCCAGCACCATAAATATTCATGCTCCGCTCCTATGTTCCAGAACGTTTAGAAGGCAGGGGAGAGCAATTAAACCTGCTGCCTATGATATCCAGAACAGCCAAAATGAAACCAACAGCTGCCCCGGTGATTACAGAGGAGCAGTAAATTTACCTAACATCCTAGCAATTTAATTAGGAGGGTGCTACATCTGTATTCATGTGTTGGTTGTCTAACCGTAAACTCTAACCGTCATTCATAAACATCAATATAATTATAAAAGTGACAATAAATTAGTGGTCAATGAAGTATAATCAAACATTTCAGAACTCCTACTTCCCACCCATGACTCCCTCTAGAAGTTCCACAGAAACGTGGTCCAACTGCAGCTCTCGAGCTCTCCATTTTCAATCAACACACATGCTGAGGATCATTCTGAGGGCCAATGACTCTGATACACCAGACCAGTCTTATGCTACATTGAATTGGACTTTGGAACCGCAGACCAGATGAAATCTTGTTAACTACTCTTCATTCATATTCCCTTTTAATAAACAGTATCTGAAAATCATTAAGATTGATCTTTAATATCCTAAGCCAGAACTCAAAGGATCCCTTTATTTTTGAAGAGTGCTACTATATTTGAACCTCTGTATTCGGCTTGCAGACAGCTCCCATCTCATTGGAAGTGTTTCACAGTCAGGGCTTTTTTTCTCAAAAAATAAGTGCAGGAACTTTCCCCTTCTGAGTCACTTTTTGTCTCCTCCCCCCTACCCACCTTCAAGCACCATCACTTGGTTTCACCCCCTACTCACCTCCCAGTACCTCTCATTTACAGAGCCAAGTATCATTTTGTGGTGCTAAATAATTTGTATGAAATTTGTTAATGAAAGCAAGAAAAGTAGATCCCCGCAGCCAGCAGCAATAGACTCCTCAGCCAGCAGCAATAGACCCCCCACTAACAATAGATTTCTCCAGCAACAATGGGCCCCCAAAACAAACCTGTTAGGTAGGTACTTGGACTTTTATTGTGCCAGCTTCTTCCATCCAACCTACATAGATAGCTTTGGGAATAGTGCACTCAAACACACCAGTATCATAAAAGTAGAATTTGTTTATTGATTGTAAAACAGCATCTTAAGTATGGAATAAAACCAGGGGCGGACTGACCATTTGGAAACTCGGGCACTGCCCGAGGGCCCCGGGGTCAGTAGCGGGCCCCATGAGATGCCCCTGGTACCTTTTTCATAGGCTTTTTTGAGTTTGGGCAAAGACACAGGGGGCCCCATGATCCCCTATTGCCCGGGGGCCCCCATGAGTTGTCAGTCCGCCCCTGAATAAAACAGTAGGGCGTATACAAGGTGGAGATTTTACTTCCACCAATAGGAAAAAGTTAATTCAATTTCAGCCCATACATGCACGGCACGTGATTAATTACTGCATACATCTTGTACAGATGTTATATGGGCAGTCCAGCATTATAACAGAGGAACATTTAAAAAAAACCATACAAGACACAAAAGAAAGAAGTGCAGACCTCAGCAACAATGATCTTATCCCTTTCACCACCCCAGCAGCAATAGAGCTCCAGCAGCTACAACAGATCTCCCAGCAGCCACCATCAATATACTCTCCAGCAGCCAGCCCCAATAGACAATAGACCCCACCCTCAACAGTATCATAAGTAAGAGTCCAGCACCGACAAGGTATGAAATAAAATTAGTATTCTTTATTCTTGATACATCGAGAAAGGAAAAGAATCCATCCATTTAAATGATTATGCCTAAGGTCCAATATGTGTGGGACTAAAACATGTCAGCCATTTTATTGGATGGATTCTTTTTATGTCTCGATGGAACAAGAATAAAGAATAATAATTTTATTTCATACTGTGTCTGTGCTGGACTCTTACTATGGTTTTCTACGGTATGTACAATGTTGTCCTGGCATAGACTGCTTATTTGCTTCTTCATCCCATAGCTAATACAGTCTAGGGTTTGTAGCACCATAATTGTTTTATATGGACTCCCTCAACAGTATATCCCTTACAGTAACAATTGACCCCCATCAATAGATCCCACACCAGCAACAATAGACCTCCACAGCAACAATAGAGCACCACACAAAATACTGTAGATCTCATTCAGTGACAATAAATCTCCCAGCAGCCAGAAACAATAGATCCTCTAGCACACACAAAGAGTAGTGGTTAATGATTCATACTCTGAATGGTCTTGGGTTGTCAGTGGTGTACCCCAAGGTTCAGTGTTGGGACCCTTACTTATCAATATATTTATAAACGATATAGGGTCTAGGATTATAAATCCTATTTCAGTCTTTGCAGATGACACCAAGCTGTGCAGTGGAATAACGTCCTTACAGGATGTCTCCAACTTACAAGCCAACCTCAATGCACTGTTTATTTGGGCAACTATGTGGCAAATGAGGTTTAATGTTGATAAATGTAAGGTTCTGCACTTGGGGGCCAAGAATATGCATTCATCATACATACTGGGGGGGTACAACTGGGGGAAACAATGGTGGAGAAGGATCTGGGGGTTCTGGTAGATCACAAGCTTAATAATGGCATGCAATGCCAAGCTGCGGTTTCTAAAGCGAGCAAAATCCTCTCTTGTATTAAAAGAGGTATAGACTCCAGAGAGAGAGATATCATATTACCCGGTACAAATCATTAGTAAGACCTCATCTAGAATATGCAGTTCAGTTTTGGGCACCAATTCACAAAAAGAACATTGGGGAACTGGAGAAAGTACAGAGAAGGGCAACCAAACTGATAAGAGGCATGGAGGAGCTCAGCTATGAGGAAAGATTAGAGGAACTGAATGTATTCTCTCTTGAGAAGAGGAGATTAAGGGGGGATATGATCTCCATGTATAATGCATAAGGAGGATATGATGTCCATGTATAATACATAAGGGGGGATATGATCAACATGTATAAATACATCAGTGGTTCATATAGTGAACTCAGTGTAGAGTTATTCACCCTGAGATCATCACAGAGGACAAGGGGGCACTCTTTACTTCTGGAGAAAAAGAAATTTAATCTCCAAACATGGAAAGGTTTCTTCACAGTGAGAGCTGTGAAAATGTGGAATAGACTCCCTCAAGAGTTGGTTCTGGCCAGCTCAGTGGATTGCTTTAAAAAAAAGTCCTGGATTCTTTCTTGGATACACAGAATATAACTGGATACTAACATTTATAGGTAAAGTTGATCCGGGAAATATCCAATTGCCTCTCGGGGGATCAGGAAGGATTTTTTCCCCTGCAGGAGCAAATTGGATCATGCTTTGCTGGGGTTTTTTTTTGCCTTCCTCTGGATCAACTGTGGGTGTAGGATTATAATTTTTTTTTTAATGGTTGAACTGGATGGACTTTTGTCTTTTTTCAGCCAGGCTAACTATATGTAACACCCCAGCACCCCTTGCAATTACATACATTCAGTCCTGGAGGTGCCAGAACTGTGTTCCCCGAGTTCCTGCTGAAAAAAAAAAGCCCTGTTCACAGTTATAATATTGAGCCACATTTGCTGTCATGAACCCATTAGGACTACCCATTCTTCACAATGTAAAATTTGTTACCCTCAATTGTGTGCAACATTTTTGTGTTGAATCATTGATTTTAGTCCAAAACCTGCAGCTGTTGTAGTCACTCTTTGTAATGGTAGATCCTGGCTGGAGGGATTAAGGCAGCTACCTACATCTAAGGCTCCCAGGGAATTCATGCCTGCCTATGACAAAGTTGCTAGACCTTGGGTGTACCTTGTACATTCTGGTCTTCCTGCCCTGCCACAGCCACAGCCACACTACCCCATTAAAATCAGCTGGATCGGCTGTCACTTTAATTAACCACTTGCCTAAAGGGCACTTATACCCCCTTCCTGCCCAGACCAATTTCCAGCTTTCAGCGCTGTCACACTTTGAATGACAAGTGCACGGTCATGCAACACTGTACCCATATAACATTTATTTTTTTTTATTTTTAGCATTTTTTTGTGACAGATAGAGCTTTCTTTTGGTAGTATTTAATCACCTCTGCGATTTTTATTTTTTCTTAAACAAACCAAAAACCACTGAAAAATTTTCTTAGTTTTTGTTATACAATTTTGTAAATAAGTGACTTTTCTCCTTCACTGATGTGCGCTAATGAGGCTGCAGTGATGGGCACTGATAGGCTGCACTGATGGACACTGATGAGGAGGCACTGGTAGGTTGCACTGATGGGCATTGACAGGCATCACTGATGGGCACTGAAAGGCAGCACTGATATATGGCACTGACTGGCACTGATAGGCGGCACTGATAGGCAGCACTGACTGGCACTGATAGACGGCACTGACTGGCACTGTTAGGCAGCACTGACTGGCACTGATAGGCGGCACTGACTGGCACTGATAGGTGGCACTGACTGGCACTGATAGGCAGCACTGATGTGCACTCATAGGCGACACTGACTGGCACTGATAGGTGGCACTGATTGGCAGCACTGATAGGTGGCACTGATTGGCAGCACTGATAGGTGGCACTGATTGGCATTGATAGGTGGCACTGACTGGCACTGATGGGTGACATTGAAAGGCAGCTCAGATGGGCACTGATATGTGGCATTGATGTGGCACTGATGGGCACTTGCACGTGGCACTGATGAGCACTGACTGCTGGCACTGATGGACACTGACAGGTGGCACTTCTGAGGCCACACTGATCATCAGGGCACACTGATCATCAGTGCCCTGATGATCAGTGTACATGTCCCCTCTGCGGACCGATTACCGGCTCTCCTCTCCTCTCGAGCTGTCAGTGTGACAGCTTGAGAGGAGAGAAATGCCGATAACCGGCATTTCCGTTTTTTACATGTGATCAGCTGTGATTGGACACAGCTGATCACATGACCGAGCCGACATCTTCGGCTCTTTCTGTGATTTTGGGGTTTTATTAACTTAACATACACATGAGCGGGGTGCGATTCTGATGCGGTGCGGAATTTGCAAAGAAAACACTGCGAATTCAGCACCGCATCAGTGTGAACCAGGGCTAAAACCGAACACATTAATTACACAGGTTATATAGCTGATTAAGATGGTGATCAAACTCATTTGGTGCCTTATCTGCATTACATTAGCCCCAGAACCTGTGTAATTAATGTATGTTCAGTTTTAAAGGGATGAGGTAGTAACCCTACCTGGCACACAAAGCTTCTAGGGGGCCCATGCATGCCCATGACACTGTTGCTAGACCTTGGGCAAGCCTTGTACATCCTGGTCTTCCTGCCCTCCCACAGCTGCCCCTGCAAAATCATTGGACCAGCTGTCAATAAAGTTCAAACAGACTTCTGTGTAAATGTAGCCTTTGAACCAGGGGTGGACTGACCATTTGGAAACTCGGGCACTGCTCGAGGGCCCGAGGTCAGTAGGAGGCCCCATGAAATGCCCCTGGTACCTTTTTCATAGGCTTTTTTGAGTTTGGGCAAGGACACAGGGGCCCCATGATCCCCTATTGCCCGGGGGCCCCATGAGTTGTCAGTCCACCCCTGCTTTTAACACTGTTTGCTGGCTTAATTGCTAAATTTGTAATAACGATACTATTTAGGTTGGTCCTTTAGCCCTGGTTCGCACTGGATGTGACCTGGCATGCAATTTGCATCCCTTGCGACTTACAAATCACATGCCAAGTCACACCCTATTGTCCGCAATTGGAGCAATCATATCGGTGCGGTTCCAACTTGGTAGGAGCCGCATTGATTTCTAAAGAAGTACATGCAATACTTTTCGTGCAATTTTCATAAACACCTGTATCAGATGTCTTGCAAATTGCACCTGAAATTGGCGGGTCCCCCGACTTTGAAATTGTGCGACTTCACTGTAAGTCGCACGATTTCAAGGTCGAGCTTGATATGAATGGAGGGTTATTGTGCAGATCAAAGGAATGCCGCTAATCAGCCCAAAGTAACGCTTTAACCACCTCCAGTCCTGGCCATTTCTGGCACTTTTTGTTCACATGTAACAATCAGCATTTTCTGATAGAAAATGACTTACCGTAAAACCCCCAAACATTAAATATGCCCATGAGGTAGGAGGTATGACAACCAATCACCATATCCGAGGAAGAAGAGGGAACACTCATGATGTATATGGTGTTTAAAAAAATATAGATCCAGGGAAAGGCCAAGATTTCTGCTTTCAATGAAGTGAGTCTTCATTTCAGACCAAAAATGAGCTAGAACTGATTAACAAAAGCAGAAGTAAGACATCTGCAAAAACCAGCCAGATGGAGAATGGATAATGAATGGTGGAAATGTTGAAAAATGAAAATAAACTGAAGGGATATGCATATGTACAAATGGGCACTGATGTTAAAATGTGCAATTTATTTTGATTGTATTCTCCTCATTCTAAAATAAAGCTCTTAAATGTTCATTTTGAGAGATTTCAATCCACAATAAACCTGATCCATTCCATCAGTATTACACAAATATCTCTCTGTCTGGAGGCAGCAGATGCAGTGGCTACAACAGACTTCAATCTGCCCAGTTGCTGGATTCACGCTTCAATTCTGGCACCTCAATCCTGAAAGGGGGGTATGTAGGCAGTTGTTGGGCTGCAGTTTCCCCACTGACCTAAAGGTGGCACTGTGCCACTTGTTTAGGTCAGGAAACCATTGTGGACTAATTAGTCCCCTAACATGGGCTCCAGGAGGCAGTCTTGGGAAAGTCAGCATCTCCTATTTGATGTCAAAATCCTGCGATATTTAGGAGTTCATCTTGACACAATAGAGCTTCAGTCCATGCACCCACAGTGTGGGAATAGGTCAGGGCAGGGGCACACTGACAACTCATGGGGTCCCCGGGCAATAGGGGATCATGGGGCCCCTGTGTCCTTGCCCAAACTCAAAAGAGCCTATGAAAAAGGTACCAGGGGCATCTCATGGGCCCCCTACTGACCCCGGGCCCTCGGGCAGTGCCCGAGTTTCCAAATGGTCAGTCCGCCCCTGGGTCAGGGATAGAGCCTGATTGTTATGAAGAAAGCAGGAGCAGTGTTAAGGAGGAGGGAAAAGAGTAGGCTTCCCCTACAGGGGAACTTCTGCCAGTTTCTTGAACCGTCCATCAGCCGGACAAACTGAAAGGTCTTTGGGGATCTCAGGGTGACTCCATTATATGGATGCCTCCTGCAAGGGAAGTGTTCCTCAGGCATTCTGTGTTCTGTAAGTTCATATTATTTTGTTGTTGAAAGAGTTCCTTGTTAATGAGCATTAACTTTCTCATTGAAAAAAGTGTGCAACCCGCAACATATCAGGTGGCATTTTTGTACGTTAACCTATTTCTGTGATCATTCGATTTCCACAATATAAATTAATGTTTAAAGTGTTACTAAACCCAGGATTCTGCATTCACTATATCTGATCTCCTACAGTACACAGAACATGGAAATGCAATTTGTTTCGTAAATACAAACTGCTGAATACATTTTCTCATCATCAGTTAGAGCACTCTTGTGATTTCTATCAGTGTCCAGCAGAGCACTGGTTAAAGCTTGTAGGAGGAGTTTTCATTCTTCCCTGATTGTCCTATGAGGCTGCATAAACCCTGATCCTCTGTCTGAACAGTGCTGATTGGCCCTGTTCTGATCACATGCACAACCCCCCCAACAAAAAAAACTCTAGCAATACACACCAGACTGAGCATGTGTAGCTTGTCCCCAAGCTCATGTTCTATCAGCAGATGGATTGGGGACAGTAGAAAGGAAGGATCAGAGAAGACAGGATCAAACAACCTTGTAGATGGAGTTTTCTTTCTGCTCTAGGAGGATGCAAAACCCCTGACCTCTGTCTGGACAGCGCTGATTGGCCCTGTGTTGATCACATGCACCCCCCCAAAAAAAACTCTAGCAATACACATCAGACTGAGCATGTGTAGCTTGTCCCCAAGCTCCTGTTCTATCAGCAGATGGATTGGGAAGAGTAGAAGTGGAGGATCAGAGAAGACAGGATCAAACAACCTTGTAGGAGGAATTTTCTTTCTGCTCTAGGGGGATGCAAAACCCCTGACCTCTGTCTGGACAGTGCTGATTGGCCCTGTGCTGATCACATGCACTCTCCCAAGAAAAAAAAAAACCTCTCCAGCAATACACACTAAACTGAGCATGTTCAGAATGGCTACTGGTTCACTCTGTCTTATCAGGAGATAAGACATGAACATTGGAACAAGAGGAGGGGCAGAGAAGTCAGGATCAAACATCCTCTTTACACAATGCAGAGGATTAACCCCTTAAGTTCCACAGTGAGTATAACAAGCATGCTTTACTGCATATACAGACTGATTTTACTGTTGTGGGTTTAGTAACACTTTAAGCATCAATGTGTGTGGATTCCTCCCAATTCTCAGTACTCTGGTTGAACTCCTTCCACAGGTCTCTCTGGGCTTATTCTGATAACACTGATAGGTGTTTTTCAACAAATACAAAACTAATATGATCCATAAAAGAGAAGTGTTCCATCAGTTGAACTACATATGCATCCTCCGTTCAGTAGACTTCGTTCCAAGAAACACACTGGATGAATATTTGCAGGTGCAGATTTTTTCTTTGGTGATGTCCTGTATATAATATTGATGTTATGAATCACGTAAATTGTGAATTGAATTATCCTAAAACAAACATTTAAAGTGGAACTTAACTGTATCTGAGCATTACAAACCTAAAACGCTATTTCATTCATTTTTACTATTAAAAGCAAGTAAACCCATCCATCCAGGTCTCCATGTTTAATTTTATAGAGAAGTCTCTTTGAAAGCACCCCCCCACCCTAGCATTTCTAGTGATGGCCATCTTGAGTAAGGGCAGATGATTCGTGTAGCATTTACTTCCTGGAGGATGTGCTTAGCTGAGAAAACCCCTCCTTCAGATGAAAGACAAAAAAAAAAGCCCATGAAGACTCTTGGGATGCATGACATCATTTTGGCCTAGGCCAGAAACCAGGAAGCAACTGAAGAAATGTAAAAACAAAAACGTTAAAAACAAGTAAATATACTATGGCCGGCCATACATGGGTCGAAAATCGACCGATTTTTCATCCAAAAATTGGACCTAAGAATAATCGGCCTATTTTCGCTCTATTAGTGGGTCAATGGCACCGGCTGATTTTTTGTGGTTCCTCCCCTTTTCTGTGATCGGGTATGTTGGAAAATTCATGAAAAATGACCGATTTTCGACTCAATGATGGTCAAATCATACAATCGTTTTTTCCGAAAAGAATATGTGCATGAGCTGTCACATGGAAGAAGAAACAGAAGTTTTGCATGTTATATGGGGTGAACTTTATGACTTTGTCGGCCGATTTTCGAAATCAATGATGGCACCATCAGATTACTGAGTGAACGACGTGTCCAATTTTCAGATGAAAAATCGTTCGGAATTGGAACCCTGTATGGCCTGCATATACCTTCCTAAAATATCCCTTCCTGTCTATTTACTAGTAGTAGGAGCATAAAGATTAATGTTGAATAACCCTAGGTTCACACCTAAGCATTTTCTGCAGCGTTTTGCAGAAACGCAGTACAGTCCATTTGACATGATTTCCTATGGGACAGGTTCACACCTGTGCGTTTTCACCCATTGCGTTTTTTGGAAAGGGTCAGGGCCTTTTTTTTTAACACGTTGCGTTTTTGGTTCTATAGACTTCAACTGAAACGTTGCCAAAAAGCATGTATTGCGTTTTTGCTGCTTTTTTTGCCTACATTTTTATGTGTTTTAAATCTGCAGAGCAACAAGAAAAAAAAACCCCCCGCAAAACGCATAAAAAATGCAACAAAAACACGTCAAGAAACACAATGCAGAGACGGCTCAAACGTAGGTGTAAACCTAGCCTTAGAGAGTTTAATTCCACTTTAGGAG